AGGGATTGAAAAGTGTCCGTGTTGAACTCTGTAGCGGTACGCGCCAACAATAGTATACGCCCGCGCGGTATCTGCATTACCGGCAGTTCGCATTGACGCCGCTAGGCGTCGCATCCCCGGGGGCATCTTCTCGAGTTCAAAGTTTCGTCTCGACCGCTATGTAAAGGGACCCTCTACGGTGCCTGACAGATCTTACAAATCTCATTTTCGGGCTAATTGCCCGTCGGCAGTAGTGCGTGTAATGCCCTTAGGCATACAAAAGTTCACCGACGAACAACGGCGCTTGGTCGCCCAACGGAGGCACGAGACGTTTCTTAAACCATCTAATGCCATGCAATTCCATAACCTTTACGGATTTCATAGGATTGGATGGAATTTAAAATTTCTTTTTTGGAATGGGATTGGACCATCTCATTTCAAATCCCATCTAATTTCATCTAATTCCGCCAAAAAAGGGATTCAAAGGTATTAAAAAATTTTAATATCTTTTAATCCTTTTGCGTTTGCACACAAGCACGCGCTCCAAATATGTCCCGATACGCATGAAAAATTTATGTGTTAAGGCAATATATTAATTGTCTCTATGTGTACTTTAAAAGTCCTCAAAAATATCCATGCATATAAAATTATTAATATTATGCATAATACAGTGTAGTTAGCAGTTATAGCTATAAAGTTATGTTGCTGGATTTAAATTGTATTGAAATATATAAGAATTTCAATTTTATACATTCATGTCCCCATAATAGTCCATATGTAAAATGTATGTCCTCATATTAACCTATTACCTGTTAATGTCTATATGTTCTTAAAATAGATCATACATGTTTAATCATTCATAGTTTTGAGAAAAATGATATAGATGATAGCTAACGATAGCAACATTGATTAAACAATATTTACTGCTTTTAAATTATGCTCCGGTATGTGCATGATTCTGAACCAGTGGCGAACACTGCAAAAACTATTTTATTTTACTCATGTACATTTTTCTCAATCTTTAAACTTTCTCACCTCACTGCAAATAATGTTTCTTAACGTCTAATATTGAAATCTACATTCTATACAATGTATCAAGCATATCTTTTTTTGAGAAATATTCAGGTTCTTACAATGAGAATATTAAAATCGAATGGTGTATGTATGTACAGTAGTGCATTAATTTGATGGGTCATAAGCCTAGTTTACACCGATCTCTTGATACGCGTATCAAATAGTATATTTAATCAGCCAATAATGGCCAATCAAATTAATTTACTAGTTATTTACCATTTAATACATGTATCAAGTGATTGGTGTAAACTAGGCCATAGTAACCTGACTTATTGGCTGCTGGATCTTTAATAATTATTTCTGTAAACATTACAAAATTACATTACCTTTACATAATTTTTGCAGTACAAAAACAAGATTTGTTGGTACCAATGAGAATAAACAAGCGAAAAAGAATATATAAAATTGCAAAAATACAATGTCTGTTAAGTTAGCATCTCTTCTACAAAAAACTATCTGTATTTTAACTGGTTCTTTACTCTTTTACATATGGGATGCTCACATTTGGGTTGGCCAAAGGGGATGAGCATGGAAATCTTATTGTACATAATATTTAGAAAGCACATAAATTGAGGAACATTTTGACTAAAACCAATTCGCTATCTGTATTTTAACTGGTACTTTACTCTTGTACGTATGGGATGCTCACGTTCGGGTCGGCCGAAGCGGATGAGCACGAAAATTTCATTGTGCATATTTTGGGAACACATAAATTGAGGAACATTTTAAGACTAAAATCAATTCGCTATCTGTATTTTAACTGATACTTTACTACTGTAAATATGGGGTGCTCACGTGCGGGTCAGCCGAAAAGAATAAGCATAGAAATCTCATTGTGCATATTTCGGGAGCATATAAATTGAGAAACATTTTAAGACTAAAACCAATTTGCTAACTGTATTTTAACTGGTACTTTACTCTTGTACGTATGGGATGTTCACGTTCGGGTCGGCCAAAGGAGATAAGCACGAAAATTTTATTGTGCATATTTCGGGAAGTTAAGCCAGCACCCCCACTTTCAATTGCGATTTCCCGCAAAACCGCTTGAGCACAAAGATCGTGAATAGAGCACATAATTAGCACATAAAGAGCACTTAATTTCTGTATACGTGTTATTCCGGTTTTTTGTAGGAAAGGTGCTAACTTAACCGACATAAAAATACATAGTTGGTAAATTTTGAGGACAGTACTAATAAATTAAAACAGAATTTATAATATGATCAAGTAAGGAAGGATGGGCAATAAGAGCCAAGCGCTGTAAATAATGCGCAATCAAATTATCGTAACAATATATATTATAATAAAACGGACGTTTCGACACTTTTTTTGTGTCTTCTTCAGCGTTATTACATAAATTCGACGAAGTTGATCTGTGAGAGACAGTCAAGCGCAATCAAAATTCACGACGGTAAAACATAAAGCTGAATAAAACCGGAGCAGTAAACGCTTGAACCATAAGGTGTAAATTGAAAATAAAAGCTATGAGCCACACAGGTGCAGTGAACAAGTAAAAACAAAAGATGTAACTCAAAATAAAATTCATAATAAACTGTAAGTCAGGCACAACTATATAGTCTGCCGAACTTCTGTATGGTTTTTATTTTACATTTCTTGTTCTATCCGTTGACTGCGCCTGACTTACAGTTTATTATGAATTTTATTTTAAGTTACATCTTTTGTTTTTACTTGTTGACTGCACCTGTGTGGCTCATAGCTTTTATTTTCAATTTACACCTTATGGTTCACGCGTTTACTGCTCCGGTTTTATTCAGCTTTATGTTTTACCGTCGTGAATTTTGATTGCGCTTGACTGTCTCTCACAGATCAACTTCGTCGAATTTATGTATTAACGCTGAAGAAGACACAAAAAAGTGTCGAAACGTCCGTTTTATTATAATATATATCGTTACGATAATTTGATTGCGCATTATTTACGGCGCTTGGCTTCTATTGCCCATACTTCCTTACTTGATTATTTAGGAGAGCCTACTTTTATTTAATTTATATTATAATATGATATTTCTTACGTTTTTTGCAGTCTTTTTTCATTAATTATTTTTAGTTTATTTGTTTGTATATCAATAATAAATTAAAGAAACATACATATAATTAAAGAATATACGGCTTGTACATCTTAAAGATAGATTAATAAATTAAAACGTAGTTTGTAATGCGATAAGCTTTATTTTTTATACAATCACTTTTTTTTTGATAATTTTTAGCAAATTTTTGTAATTTTTAGTAAACTTTTTTATAACTTAATACTAATTAGAACAATAAAAATAAGTGTAAAATAAAAAAAATACACGGTTGGTATATATTGAGGACATATGCTAATAATTTAAACCAGGTTATGTAATACACTAATACAATAATCTTTTGATTTTTCTGTCCTTTTTATGTCTGTTTATTAAATATTTTCAATACAATTTTTCGTATTCTTATAGAGGTGATTTAGAAATATAAAAGTAGAAAATACAGACATATGCCCATATATATTTTGAGGACATATATTAGCAAATTAATATAAAGATTGGATTATTATATAATTTAGTTTTCTTGCAGGTTTACTTTTGATAGAATTCATTTTCTTTGCTTTGACTTGGTGAAAATAAAGTAAACACTATTAAAGTAGCAAAAGTATTTGGCGCATTTTGCGTTCTTAAAATATACCAAATACATCTTAATATTAAAATGTATTTGGTCTATTATAAGGACTTTTTTCTTGACAGATTTTATGTCCTTGATTTTTACCAACTAAAAAACTTGTAAATTTTAAGGACAGTCCTCAAAATATACCAAATTGAAAAAAAATAATGAGAACGGTCCTCGAAAATACCATATGTCCTCAAAATATACTATGTGTTGAAAAATGTCCCTAAATAGTACCAAAAACATACATACCCGGGAAAAAAAATTATATATAATCATATATAAATTATATATAAATGATCATATATAATTATATATAATTAGATATGAAAATTGGCACGATATAATTTTATCTGATTATATATAAAAATATATAATTTTACAAATTTTTATATAATTTTATGTAATTATATATAACAATATAACTTTATATTAAGGTTTACTTTTAAAGGATTGTATATTATTATATAAAATTATATATAATTTTATATAATAATATATAATGAATAAATAAAAATCGAAAATTAAATGGAAATTTTTTATTGATATTTATTGGAAATTTTATCTCTTAAAATTCATTCTGAATTATTATTTTTTAAGGGATAACGGTTGCAAATTTTTTACTTACAATAGTGATGAATTTTTTCATCAAATTTTTTTCCAAGTTGTACTTTGAATGTAATGACATGAAACTTTGTAAGAATGGTTAGAATAAAGTAAGAATGTTCTAAATAATTTAGTTTTTCGGATTTCCCACAAAAAAATTATAAGAAGTATCTATAAGTAAATAACATATTCGAATAATATTATTCGACTAGAAATAATGTTTTTTAGTATTATAAATTAACAGTTACAGCTACAAAAATATTTTTTTTATCTAATAAGAAAACTATAAATTAAATATTTACTCAACAAATATTTAAAAAAGTACATTTTTTCTAGTCAATATGTTAAAGAGATTCGAGCGAATTTTATGGAAAAAAAGTTTTTCCAATTTTGAGAGTTAGAGTTTAATATAATTCACAAAGGATATATTATCAGAAGATTTTTGAAATTCAAAAATGTTCCACCGTGTAGTTTTCCAGAAAAAAAAAACATTTCAAAATTATGTTGTTAATGGTTTACCTCAAAAAACCCTAAAAAACGTTACTTATGAAAGTATTTTTTCAATAAACTAGACGGTGGATCATATTCAAATTTCAAAAATCTTCCGATAATATATTTTTTATGATGGATGTAAAATATAAAATCTTAATAGGAAAAAATTTGTTTCTATGATTCGCTCGAACCTCCTTAATTAAAGTTGTGAATTACTTTAAATATAATTGCTTATTTTTTCATGTCTAAGTTTTTTTGGTAAGCTCTTTTTATCTCTCCAATTTTCTGAGTCATTGTCTGTTGTAAGTCAATCCATTTGTATGGAGCACTATCGTGTTTGGTTTTCTTCTTCCAACCTTGACTTTTAGCGTACTCTAGAGTGTATTCTGGAAAGATAAATATATATTTCATTTGCCAAGGAGTTGAAATTAAATAATGATTAACAACAAATAAAATAATAATCTTATTTACGATAAGAATGTTAAATACACTAGTATAAACAATTATAATAATATAATATTATTAATTAGTATTATTTAATAATACTAATATTTAATGATTAAAATTAAACACATTACATGACGCAACTGACTTGTGAAAGATTTCATTATAATTAAATATTGTTAAGATTTTATCAAAATTGAATATTGCATATATCAGCCAAATTTGAATTCAATTCAACAAAAAAAGTTACGTCTAGCTCAAACTTATTAAATTGTTGACCGTACATAATTATCTGCTAACTTATATGCACAAATAATTTTATTTTCGTTTTTCGTAATTAAATTGTTATTTTCAATTCGTAGAAATACTTATCAATTTTAATATTTATGTAACTTCTACATTAGGCGAATTTCCAACTGTATTTAAAATCCTTAATCTATTAATTAACAATTTTAAATGAAATTTAGAAAAGATATCAAAGGATTGTAAAAATTCATTACTTACTAATTATGACGACTTTAGCCTTACTGTGTAAAGCTCGATAAACTTTAGGTTCATTGCTCTTTCCTAAGTTTCGAGGGGGCTGATGACCACTGTATGTGCAATGAAGTAGCTCATTTTTTTTTAATATTCCATCCATTAGAATGCGTATCATGACCGTACCTTCACCGCAGCTATGAGCCATATTTAATTGAGTCTCTACGCAATAGATTTCTCCTCCAATATTTACCATCTATAATTGACCATAAGAAATTATTTTTGTTTAAAAATTAAAGAGTACTTAAAAATATCCATTTTAATTATGTGTATACAATATAATACCTTCTTACAGTAATCAAGACCTAATAACTGAATATCTTTATCATAAAATTCGTCATCATTTAGTCCGCTCGTGCCTCCATCTTCTTTTTCTGTCTTGGTATCTTTCTTTTTTTTGTCATCAAATTCTTCAACTTTTTCAATAGATTGTTTATGAGCATCTAACAGTTCATCATTATTTTGACTTAAAATTTTTTGAAGAATGTTATTGATTATAACTTCTCCATCGTTATCTTCCCCAGTTATTTCCTTTAACTTTTTGTTATTTTCTGCGGCAGTTTGCGGTTGGGGTTTAATGATTTTGTCAACAACAGGTCGGACATCATTTTCGCTGTCTATATCGGATTGGTCAGTATCTTCAGGTGATTCAGTCGTGTTAGAAGAATTGTCATTGGGTTTCGTTTCTTGTTGTTTTTTTTATGTAGATTGACGATTTTCTACAGAATACAATGATTCAATTTTTTAATATTATAGTAAGATTAGTCCGTTATGAAGATAAATGTTTGAAATCAAAGTTAGCGCAATAAAGAAGCTAGTTTTAGAAAAGTAATAAATAATTAAATCAAAATTAATAATCAAATAAATAAATAAAATAAATAAATCAAATGTATTTACTATGAAAAATTTTTTTAAAAAGTTATTTCAAATAATTATTAATTTCTCATGCTTCATACTAGAAATCTAAAAAACTGCGAATGATTTATTTTTAAAAATAAAAAATATTGCTTTGTTTTATTATATTGGAGTAATACATAGGCTGAATAGAGTTTATGATTTAGACTTGTTTAGTCCTTAATAAAATTGATAATTACCTTTCAATTGTTTCGCATTGCACTAATATTTATTGAATACTAATAAACATTCAAATTTTACATTATATATTAATATATAATAATATGTAATCTTTTTTTCCGGGGACTATACATTTTCGAGTTGCGGCGACTTGGAGTGACTAATTCCGTCGTATTGTTTTTGTATTAATTTCAGAAAAGTTATGGCAAAGCCTTGCCTTCAGAAGTTTCATTTCTAACGCGCGTGGCGACCACGCGTTTATTTTTTTTATGGATGTTGAATTTTATTTTCCGCGTTGAAAATCTACGACCAAAATTAATTATTCAGTTCGCGGTTGTAAAAATAAGGCTCCAAAAACTTTAAATGTTCGATTTTATTGCTTTTCTAACCCCAATATGAGTTTTTTATACATATCAAACCTTTATTTGGCAATTTAGAGAAAATTGATCGTTTCAAAGCCTAGAAAAGTGCATTAAAAATGAAGAAAGTGACCCTTCATATGAGAAAGTGTTAACCGTTCTGCACCATATTTAATTAAGCCTCGCCTCCATGTCAGATCTCAATAGGAGTGATCCCCAGAGTGATCATTATTGGTTCACAGAGAGGATTTTGAAAAAAGAAATAAATATTTCGTAAAATAATTATATAACAAAAATCTTTTTAAAAAATTCGAATTTGTAAAATAAATAAATGAATAATAGTTAAATTTTGCGAAAACCCTCAGTGAGAGAGAGAGAGAGAGAGAGAGAGAGAGAGAGAGAGAGAGAGAGAGAGAGAGAGAGCGCGAGAGAGAGAGAGAGAGAGAGAGAGAGAGAGAGAGAGAGAGAGAGAGAGAGAGAGAAAGAGAGATTGATTGATAGATTGATTGATTGATAAATTTAATTATGCCCGAGCAATGGCTAAGGGGCAAAAATAAGATAACAATGTCTGATTACAACAGCATATGCTCACTCTCAGACAAAGTAGTATAATACAAAACAACTTATAGCTAACGCAACTTAGGAACTAGCGCAATATAAAACTTAACAGAATAACGCAATGTAAACCAAAGTGCAAGAAGAAGAAAAGATCCAAGAAAAGCACAAAATAGGGAGTGCACAGAACAAGGAAGAAAAGAGAGAGAGAGAGAGAGAGAGAGAGAGAACTGATGCAGACAATTATGATAAACATTTGTGTGAAATATGAAATTAATCGAATAAACCGTTTTCAAGTTATCATAGCTACAGTTTCAAAAATGCTGTTCTAAAAAATGGACACGATGTTAATATATTCACTGTAAAATATAATTTTTTTATACCAAGATATTGTTAAATGTACCCAATAGATATACGTAACAAAAAATTCCATACTCTTATTAATTTACAATTTTTTACAACTCCCCAAATTTTTCCTAATTTTTACTTTTGTCACAGACCTTTTAAAAAAAACTTATGTTATATAATTAATATTATTTTTTCATATTAAAATATTCTGTTATTATGTACGGGTTAAAATTCAATCTAATAATAATTATATTGTTAATTAAAAATTATTATTCAACGATTCAATTTGAAATCATTTGATTTGCTTCAATTTGAATGAAATTTTGTCGAATCAATTGATTTAGCATTGTTTAATTTCAAGAGAATGGATTACAGTCATAAAGGTTTCTTTCCAAAACTGAGTTGTGGATTATTTTGGAAGATAGGTGGAAGTCAGAAAAAATAAATAAATTTGTAGTTAGATTGTTTAGATTAGTAAAAAAGAGAAATTTGAGGGTAGTTACTTTGACAAAAATAGTGTTTAATATTCTTTTTATTTAAAAAAATATATTTTGTAAGACTTTTAAACATTTTATACTTTTTTATTTTATTATAAAACAATGAAATAATAAAAATATATTAAATTATAATGCATAAAGATTTTATTTTATACAGTAGAAATTTTCAATTAATCTTAAACTTTTGACTGCCAGTATATCCTAAACATTTATTGAGAATAAGACTAACTTTCGTTGTATTATATTATTATAAAATTCACCCTCTCTTTCATGATCGGTAGTATAAATATACCAGTAAAAAGGTAATGTGAGAATATAGGCTTTGTATATTTTGTACATTTAAAATATTTTCTTGAATTTACATCTTTATACATGTACATAAAAACGAAAAAAGTTGATAATGCATAATAAAAAATTATTTACATCCATTTTTCTTTACCTTAATATATGGTATTAATGTATGATATTGTATTATTAATTTTCAGAGGCTTTTCCAGTGATAAACGTAAAAAATGTTTATGTGCTGCCTGGTTCCCCCAAGTATTTCAAGCCTGCTGCAAACACAATAATTTCTCGTTTAAAAGGATGCACGCCACTGCAGTTTGAATATATAGATATTGAATTGAATGAACTGTCAATAGTAGCTATTTTAGATAAACAAGCAAAAAGATGGGATGGTAAAGTTAAAATTGGCAGTTATCCTCAATTGGAATTAGAAATACCTTTTACGAGGATTACTTTGGAAGGATCCGAAGAAACAGTTGCGAAAGCAAAAGAGGAATTTTTATACTATCTGCCGATACAAAAAGTTATGAATTTGAAACATAAATTTAGTTGTTTTCAAATGAATATTGTACTGGAAAATAGCAAAAACGAAGCACATATTAAATGTGCACTAGACATATTGAATGAATGTTATGAAAGGTACGCATGTAACTTACATATTTAAATAAATGTATATGTATCTTATTTGGAATACAAACATGTTATGTCAATTAATTTGCGCGTATAGGTATGTGCACATGTTTGTGTACAGTTAACTGACATAATATATTTCTTGTAAATATAGTACTATGTGTACTTAATATATATAGATATAATTACAGTCAGTGGCACAAGAGCATGTTAGCTGTTCCTCCTGGAAAAGAAAAGATTTTGAAAAAATCTTATGATTTTGAATAAATATATGACCTTGAAGTAGATTATATTATACGTTTCAATGCGTTTACCTAATACGTCATCCAGTCCCCTTCGTTATCGATTAAAGCTTGGCAACGTTGAGGCATGCTACGAGGCATTCTACAAGACATTCTACGAGGTTTTTTGCCAAAGTTTCAGGAATTGATTTCCAGATCGTGATTGTTACGATAACTGTTTCAAAGTGAAGACACGTTTTTTCCTCATCTTGATCTTCATAGCAGCCCATATATTTTCGATTAGTTAGCATCAAAAGACTGTGAGAGTCAATCCATCGTAGTGATGCCATTTTCATGCTTTCACGCCGTGCATTCATGGCTTCGATGTTTGGAGTCATTGTCTTCTTGGAGTACCCATGAGTTGGTATCGGGGCCGAATCATCTCCTAATAGACTCAATAAAACCCTTTTTATTATTTTATCAATTTTTATCATTCTCTCTGTATTGAGATTACCCGTAAACACAAAATTCCAAAACCTTGTTTACAAAAGCATCCCCAAACATGCATTCTAATTGTATGTTTTACAGTGCGTTGAACTAACGGATTTGCACGAATCGATCACGCATGTGGACATGACGTTCAAAAGCTTCGTCGATAAAGATTACATTTGAATAATCACGGTCGATATTACCCGCACACAGTAAAATATATCACCAAGATATCTAGAAGATATCTGAATGACGGAATATCTGATTGCGCAAGATATCATGAGAATATCTCAGAGACATCTTCAAGATTATAAAAAGCTATAATTTTATCTCAGATATGATATCTGATTGCAGAATCTATATGCAGTATATGTCGGATATCTATGCCTCATTTAAAAGAAGATAGTTACATACGACCCAAATAGCAAGAAGAAAAGAAGAATTTTTTTTTAATTCTCGATTTATGAAATTAATTCTTTTTCCGTGTATATTTATTCTCTCTTCTAAAATGATTCTTAAGAGTTCATAAGAAATTCATTTTTATGTCACCAATTCTGAGTCCTTCTTCAAATATAAAAGAAGTTATTTTTATAAGAATTTGCAATAAATTTAAAAGCTATGCTTTGATACTATTCCAATATTTTGCATTTTGCCATCTCTGCATTGTATGATATCTCGGAGGTATCACGAAAAATATTAGAGCCAAGTATCTCACAGGCTCGCCTTTTACTCTAGTGCGTAAGGATTTTTGCTTACGAGAAGGTACTGGGGCATGTAACCGCGTTGCGGCAGCCCATGTTACTAGCACTCGCCCGAGCAAAAATTTGCTAAGTCCCCTCACGGCATGTTGATTTTGCGCCGCGGTCGTTACCTCCGCCGCAGTCTCAGCAAAAGTTTTCAAAGTCCCCTTGCGGCGAGTTGCTTTCGCGCCGCGGTCGTTACCTCCGGCGCCAACCGAGTGAAAATTTTCGAAGTTTCTTCACGGCGCGGCGTCTGGCTTTCGCCGGGACGAATCAGTACGGCGTCCAAGTTCTCTAAAATTGTTTTATTGGCTACGAATAAACTTGAGTTGATCTTTATAAAATATAAGAGCTATAACTATGAATCGGCCATATATTCGAATGCAAATGTTGCAGAGATGTCTTTTTCAAAGATATAATGTGATATCGAGTAATGCTGTCCTGTAGATATTTTGTAAATATCTGAAAATAAGATATCTCAGATTTGACTTAAAATTGTAGGCATAAAGATATCTGGCTATATCTCAGATATATTTTGCTGTGTGGGTAGCTTTAGACGTTTTTCCACGTATAATGGATTTAAAAACAGTTTGATTCTTGTACTTCGCCAGTCGTAACCAGAAGCAAGTAATCGACGTTTAGGACGTTTAGTCATTCTCAGACTTACATCTGTACCCTTTTTGGGCACGATTACGATAACTTCGGCCTCTTGATTTGACGATGGTTTCTGATAGTATTTTTTACGCTAAAAAAAATTATACAGGTCTTATATTGCTAATTGCTCTAGTTTTTGAGATATACAGTATTAAAGTTAAAAATAAATAATTCTTCTTAAATAATACTTTGATTGTGTGTATAGACAGTACACATATAGGGGGGGAGGGGCTACCACTTTTTCCTCGCAGGCAGGGTTGGGTGGAGATGGATCTTCGTTTGCGTAGAAAGTTGAAAACCCGAACCGTACAAATGATAAACCTCCGGTTCGGGTAGGGTGAACCTCGAAAAATTTTTTTAGTCGGAAATTTTTTTTACTATTTTTGCCGTATTCTTCGCCAAAAATATCGGTTAATCTTAAGATTAAGGGCAACCTCACTGATTTCAATGACCTTGATATATGTTGTCAAAAAGCGCCGTGAGGGACATTCGAGGGGGTTTTTAGTGGGTTAAAGTTCCACATAACTGCCCTCTACAAACCCCGGGGAAGGGGGTATCCGTGTGGATTTCTCCCCCGTTATAAAAGAAAGGTCATGACCCCGAGTGACCTTCAGAAGGTTTTAGCCGTCGCTCGTTATTCGTTAAAAAGTTATTAACAAAAAAATTTGGAAAATATAGCAGTTATTTTGAGTGGCATAAACGACTAATATATATGTGGAAATAATACATGTATGAACGAAGAAAAGTCATTTAAAGCAGCGAATTGTTGGCTTTAAAAGCGGCCTCTTTCAGGCAGATCGTCGATACTTTTCGTCTCTTCGATCGTTTCACCCATATTTTACGACAAACTGCTGAGACTTTCTCACGTAACGGACAGCAGCTATATATGACATTTTGGTCCTTATAGGTGACTACATAAATACTGCTTCAAAACGACTAGCGTACGCTGCACTCATTTTGTTCACATTCAGTTGTCACACAATAAACTGAACCTAACTTTCAAAGTATTTTAGCCTACTGTATGGCCAACATTAACATCCAAAAGTTTTACTTATGCGACATCTATTAACGGAATTATGAATAACACGCTCTTATTCCACTGACTACATCTGTAAATACAAGTATATAGTTGTACTATCTATAAAAAAATATATGTATATGTTTTTTATAGATATAATCCAAATGAAGTTTTCATTAGTTTCAATGGTGGTAAAGATTGCACAGTAGTTTTGCATTTAGCTGCTACCATCGCTAAATTGCGTAACATTTCGTCCTTATTATGCTTATATATAATTGAGGATTCATTTCCAGAGGTAAGAGCTCCGTTAAATAATGATAGAATGTATGTATTTTACACTCTCTCTTATCCACACAGAGGAAAAGAGGGAGTAAAGAAAAAGGAAAGAGGAAGGAATTGAGAGGAAGATGGGGAAGGAAAGAAGAGGGGAGGAGAAATTTAAATCTAAAAAGAATTTAAATCTTGAATTTGTTACGAAAAAAATAATTTTAATTTTTTTAGACTATAAATTGTAATTTACGTAAAACATATAAATGTTTTTTAAAGCCATTTTTTAAATTGTCGCAAATATCTCAAAAATTGTGCGAGCCATTACAACGAACATTGCAGTAGACCCTTGATTATCCGAGCTCCGATTATCCGACACTTCGCATTATCCGAGGTGCTTGTCCCATCGGAAGTTTCCGTATTATCCGAGGCGTGAGCGTCCGTTTATGTGTATTTCTTATGTCTTTTCTAAATCTGCTTCAATTCGCCTGTATCATCATCGCTTATAACCGGTATTTTTGAGCTTTTGTTTATATCTGCGTTTATATCGCTATCGCACGTTTGTCTGTTTGCTCACACATTCGTGGAATGCGTCCGAGATAAGTAAGTAATTAAAGCATCACGATGTCTCAAAAACGAAGAAGAGTTGTCGTAACCGTGCAGCAGAAATTAGAAACCATAAGTAGGTTGGATAAGAGTGAAAAAACTCGAACTGAAGCAGCTGAATGTGGAGTTGGAGAGACAACCGTCGGTGATTGGTGACGAAATCGGCAAAAATTACAACAATTTGCGACTGAATGCGACGTTAAGACAAACCGTAAAACTATGAAATTAGCAGAGTATAATAAAATCGACAGTGCGTTATTTTTATGGTTTACACAGATGAAAGAAAAGGGACTTCCATATTAAGTATAAAACTCTTATTTCCTAGGTGATTATCAATAATTAAAATAACAATTGTTATATCAACAATCTTAGATTGATCTCATATACATATCTTTATTTCTCTAGATCAGGTTCAATTTTACAAGAAAAAGCTATGATGCTAGCAAAACATTTTCCTAACGAAAGCGACACTTTTACGGCAAGCAGTGGTTGGCCAGAGAGGTGGAAGAAAAGACACGGTGTTCGTCAGATGAATATCTGCGGTGAAAAATTATCAGCTAATGAAGGTGAAATGAATAAGTTTAAAGAAGAATTTCAAAAGCTCGTAGCAGAAGAAGGATATACAAAAGATCAAATTTACAACTGTGATGAAACTGGCCTAAATTATAAAATGATGCCTTCCAAAACATTAATTTCAAGAGATGAAGCAGCTGCTCCGGGATATAAAAAGAATAAAGACAGATGTACTATTTTAGCATGTAGCAATGCATCAGGAAAGAAAACATAAACTTCGATTGATGTTAATTGGGAAGTCGGCTAAACTGAGAGCACTTAAAAACATTAACCATGAAGCTTTGCCTGCGTATTATGCAGCAAAATGCTTGGATAAGTAGCGATTTTTTTAAAAAATTGTTTTTTGACCAAGGACCCCGCACAAAATCGTAGGATTTTGGACCTCACTAAAAATTTCTGAAACTTTGATATGTTACAGGTTATGTATGACCTCCTGATCAAAAGTCCTCATGGGTGCAAGACTAAAAAATG